CCAATAGAAAGCCAGTGCAGCTCGCGGAGGATAGGTGTAACATGGGTGTACCTCGGTACACCTATTATCGCTCGCGCGGCTGCATTCTGGACTAGCTGTAGTCTTTGAACACTCTTCAAGGGCAGCCCCATGTAGAGTGTGTTACAGTAATCCAGTCTTGAGGTGACGAGGGCGTGAGTGACCATTCGAAGTGGCTCCCGGTCCAGATAGGGCTGTAACTGGTACACCAGGCAAACCTGGGCAAAGGCCCCCCTGGTCACAGCCGACAAATGATGTTCTAATGTCAGCTGTGGATCCAGGAGGACACCCAAATTGCGAGCCCTCTCCGAGGGGTGAATAACTTCGCCCCCCAGACTAAGAGGTGGTATGTCGGGACCATCCTTGGGAAGCAACATCAATAGCCACTCGGTCTTGTCTGGATTGAGTGCAAGCTTGTTCACTCCCATCCAGACCCTAATAGCCTCCAGGCACTGGCACTTCACTTCAATTGCTTCACTGAGTTGGCACGGGGCGGAAGGCACCGATGCCCTCCGCAGCCCTTGGCTGGAGGGCCTCCTTTATGCCTTTCCGCCTCTGCCAATTGTACCTCTGGTCATGCAGAAGATTCTGGCGGAATGGGCGGAGGTGCTGCTGGTCGCACCAATGTGGCCACGGCGCCCCTGGTATGCAGACTTTGTCCATCTCACACCCATGGAAAATTCCAAATGACTGGATATCCCTCTCGCAAGGAGCCCTTGTCCACCCAAATCCACAGCTGTTACAGTTAGCCGTGTGGCACATGAGTGGGCAGTCCTGAGTCAGCAGCATTTCTCTGATAAGGTCATCTCCACAATCCAGGCGGCTCGCCGCCCGTCAACAACCCACATCTACAAGGCTACCTGGCGCGCCTTCTGCAGATGGTGTCGAACAACAGGTGCGGACCCAACCAGGGCAACCAAACCGCAGGTTTTGGACTTCCTACAGATGGGCATGGACAAAGGGCTAACACCTAACACCCTCCGCCATCAAATTGCGGCTCTGTCTACCGCGGGCCACCCCCTATCTCAACACCCGGGGGTGCGGGCCTTCCTGAAGGGAGCAGTGAAACTTAGTCTGCCTATCATTCATCGCTACCCCACCTGGGACCTCTCCCTATTACTCAGTGCCCTTATGGGGGCTCCATTCGAGCCTGTTTGGACCACCTCCCTCAGGTTACTGACTCTTAAGACTATCTTTTTACTAGCCATCACATCAGCCAGGTGTGTGTCCAAGTTGGCGCTCTCCATCCAGAATGACTTCTGTGTTTTCCATCCAAGCAGGGTCGTACTACGTTTGGACCCAACCTTTCTTCCAAAAGTCAACTTGTGGTTCCACAGGTCACAAGAGATCACACTCCCAGATTTCTGTCCACAGCCATCTCACCCCCGAGAACGGCGTTGGCATCATCTCGATGTTCGTCGTTCACTTTGCTGCTATGTGCGACGCACAGCATCATTCAGAAGGACGGAGGCCCTGTTTGTGTCTTTCCAACCTGCCACCATGGGCCAAAAGGCATCATCACATACCATCGGCCGCTGGTTGAAGGTGTGTATTGCCCTAGCCTACGTCAGTCCTGATTGGTTCCCAGTCACATCACTCCCCATTCTACCAGGAGTGCGGCCATGACAGCGGCCTGGGCAATGCAGGCCTCGGTGGAGGACATCTGCAGGGCAGTGACCTGGTCATTGCCGTCACCCTTTATTCGTCACTACAAGGTGAACAGCACGTGCTGCAAAAGGTAGCTTCTTTGGCTATGGCACCAGACCAACCTCGCTCCCGCCCCTGAAGTCTATTGCTTTGGCATGTCCCGTGCTTGGATTCCCCAAGCAGTGCGCAGGAGACCGACCGTTGACTTACCTGAACGGTCCTTCTATGTGCGCTGCAAGGGGAATCCAAACCCGCCCTCGATTTTGGCTGTTCTGGGCCTGGACTTCCTTTTTTCCTATGACATTCTGACTTATCTTGACATCTAGACTTATTTGCTTCTCTCAAGCCGGCTGATCCTTCGTGCAAAACTGAACCAGTCCAGTCAGATGAGGCATGGCCAGCAATTTGCATAACTCAGTCTCAAGGCTAATGAACAAAGTTAATCCATGCTTGGATTCCCCTCGCAGCGCACATAGAAGAACCGTTCAGGTAAGACAACGGCCGTTCTAAGAAATTAATTTGCTATGAAATGTACATGGAACAATGTAGGATTGCAGGAGCCTTCCCCTTTCACTTTCAGTCTTTGGGTTAGAAATTATGCTTCATTTCCTGCATTTTGCTTTTTCAGTTTTTAGCAGAGCAGGCAGATTCTTTGCATGTAAGTTCTGGCTTTGAGGCAACAATAAACAAGTTTGACAGCAATTTCTCTGCACATCTGCTGGACCTCCTGGACAAACTGAGCATTTACAGTACCAATGACTGTGAACACAGCATGATCAATATCATCTACAGGTAAGCAGAGATTTTTCCCCCAGA